GCAGCGTACTTTCACTTATGTATATGTCCGTTCACAACTGCATATGTTCACACCTTGCATATGTCCGTTTCCGTTTGTTAGGGTATTGCCCCGACATTTGCGTGGTGTGGACCAAAACCTACCGATCAGAGCAGCCGGCCACTAGATTTCCCCTTCAAAAAGCGACGGAACTCAACATAAATGAAAAGTCAAGGAATATACAAACTGAAGGATTGCACATTCCCCGTCAATAACCAAGTAATATTCCTTTTCGATTTCTGGCAGGATAAACCACTCGCTAGAAGAACTATCGGCATATTTCCAATTAGCTATCTGGAACAAAATTGAGTCACTGTCGATTTCAGGCTGTATGTTAAGAGAACTAACCTCACAGTGTAGAGGTTATTTTCTGGAAAGTGGCGGTGTTCCTCCTTCGACTGTTGCAACGTGAGATCACACGCCAACCTATAAGTTCGCATGCATCCAGGTATCTCCCCCATCAGGACATCGACTCAACCGTCGCAAGATCTAAGCATTCGCTTGGTCACACAACATTTAGTGTTAGTGACGACAGATATATAAGAATGTTTCCCTAAAGGAAGACAAGGGGACAGAATGAGAAGGTAAACCTCTCTCGCAATTCGAGGCTCATTTGTAATGGAACTACACCATCATTCACCTTGTATTGATTAGAAAGCCACGGAAAACAGGGCAAACGACCACAACAATTCTCCTTCAAACAACGGTTGAATTCAAGCTACGTAGCAAGTGTCAAAAAATTTGCCCGCATCGGCACACCAATTCTAGCACTTTCTGGTAAACACTGTCGCATTGCTACATCAGCAGCTATAGGGAGAGCAAACGTATATTATTAAATTTGTTCAAACAATTGGTTGCTCGATCGGGATTCGAACCCAGGCCTTCTGGTTTACGCTCAGATGCTCTCACCACTCTGCTACCGAGACAACCAAGTATTTGAACCGTTTATTGTTTTCATGAGCATCATTTAATTATCTCTCCTTGTGTATATATATATATATATATATATATATATATATATATATATATATATATATATATATATAGAGAGAGAGAGAGAGAGAGAGAGAGATAGATAGATAGATAGATAGATAGATACCATTCCCGTTACCGTCAAAATCCGGTCGGGGCAACCAATTCTTTGAACAAATCTAATTAATAAAATGCATTCTTACTCAGAAACATGTCACAATTTGGATTTATTTACGACTGCAGACTATACTCTCCGAGCGTAATTGCGTTCCACAAGGTGACAAGAATGGTCTCATTTAAATGTAGTAGCTACCATCAAGACCTTACGCATTGAAGAGAAATGTGAAATATTCCGTAACAATCTAGTGCGTTCGCTTGCGGCGACAAACGACGCCCAGCAAGACACCGCTGTTCTTCAACCACCGTTGCCCTGCTCCCCACCGCAAGGTGCCGACCGAATGAATGTTGCATGTGAACGCCCTAAGGTCACTTCAGGCGCTGCTGAAAGTTTCAGCCGGAGACGGCGCCGGAAGACGCTGGCCAGGGCTGTCCACCGCACCCCGGGAATCAGATTGC